CAATCAGTTGTTCCATATCCAGTTCTAACTGTTGCTTCCTGTCCCACGTATAGTCCCGGGATGGTACAAAAACAGAACAGGCTGTATATTGCCCACTTGACTGTAACCAAAGCTCAGTCCCCAGTTTTTCATGTTGCCTGGCTATTTCCCCCCCCCCCCAAGGTAGACTAGCAATAGCTCTCAAACATCTTTCTATACAAGGATTCAGGCATAGTCAAAAAACTGTAACTGTTGCTTCCTGTCCCACGTATAGTCCCGGGATGGTACAAAAACAGAACAGGCTGTATATTGCCCACTTGACTGTAACCAAAGCTCAGTCCCCAGTTTTTCATGTTGCCTGGCTATTTCCCCCCCCCCCCAAGGTAGACTAGCAATAGCTCTCAAACATCTTTCTATACAAGGATTCAGGCATAGTCAAAAAACTGTACAATTTTTGTAACATTTCTGTAAAAGAAAACATTTTGCCTAGGATACCAGACATTACATGGAAATAAATTCAGTACTGTATATTTAAATCAACTTTTTAAAAGCAAGGTTGCTTGTTCCTTCTCCACAGTGAAGTACAGAAACAATGATTCCTCATCACATAACTGAGGAGAAATATTTGCTCTTTTGAGAGATTTCCCACTATTGTGAAAAAGACGACTTCATTTTTAAAGCTAGTGTATACTGGATGCAAACTGCAGCTGCACCTTAGTTTAACTGGGAAAGGAACCAATTCTCTGTGCAAAGCGCATTTACATGCCTCTATGGCAGTTGACAAAAGGAGGGAGCATGATGCTTGCTGTTCACACAGGCACCATGAACAGAGTAGTGATCAGCACTATCAAGGTCATCCCATGCCAAACATTCAAGTAGATAGGGGTTTACTGGTAGTGAAAATAACTATAAATACTGGACTCCCACTGGTGACATCGCGGAGTCCAGAGGAAACAGGAAGAGGGAATTTCTCTCCCCAATACAGCCCCCCTTGCACTCCCAAAAGCAATCTCACAGATATGACAAATTCTCTGGAACCAATTTTCAAGTGGTATAGGGAGTGTGAGTAGAGGAAGACTGAAGAGGCAGGAAGCTCTATTTTGTTGGCAAGATCAGGAAAGCCACAGGCGACAGTCAGAACTGAGCATTTTTACCCATGAGCAGCCGTCGTTTCACTCGCTTGTCTACATCTGTTCCAGCTGTAGCATTATTTTCAGAGATTTCTGTTCCAGCCTCCTCTTTCTCTTTAAAATGTAAAAGAAGAAAAATAACAATTGGTCTTGTCCTACATGCAGTGGAAATAATGTTCTAGACCAGACATTCTCAACCCTTTTTGGCCACAGCCATAAATGCAGTATGAAAGAAATTTAGGCTAAATAAGGATTGTGTAAGTCGCATAACGAAACTGATAAGGTAATGTGTGTAGAATTGTTTCCAGTCTGTGGCCCCATTCAAATGTGCCATGGCCCCCATTGAGAATGGCTGTTCTAGGAAATAACTATCCACCAGATTTTCAAAGTGACTGGTAAGTATCAAGGGTGGTTTTTTTCCATACTTTTTCCTCCTTATGCCTCACGTTTGCTTGAGCCATGGGTTAAGAAAGACAAAGGTGTCTGTTTTATATTATGTTATACAAAAGGGATGAGGCAAACTGGTTGGAGACACAAGTTTTATTTTGGCACAAAGAAATGCCAAAGGTTGCCGAATGTATTTTTGCATGAAATTTACTTTGGGTTAATGAGATCCAGCTTGCCCTTGGACAGCTTACTTATAAGGCCTCCTCACTCAAATAAATCAGATGCTGTCCTAGTTATGCCAGTTAAAGCAAACAACCAAAATGTTGGAGGTGGACTGCCTGATATTAAGAAATCATTTCAGACATTGCCTGTTAATACTGAGTTGCATGACTCAGCATGCAACTGACAATGTCTGTGGTGATTCCTTAACTTGTGGTGATTTGCCTCTAAAAATATACTTTTTGTGTGCTTATGCAAGAGGACTTTGACTGCTCTGTGATATTTACTCTGACCAAAAAAAGAAAAGAAAAAAAGAACTTGATTCTATCAAGCACAAGTTCAAGGTTGCCTCTTTTTCAGAACTAGTTCAATGCTATTCTCTCCCAGTTCAGCTGATGTTACTTAGATAGACACTTATCAGAAGGAAGGAAGGAAGGAGTGAGCAAGCAAGCAAGCGAGCTATGCCACATTGCTCCGGACTATTTGAGGGAACTTATTGTTCCATACAAGTCTAGTGCCAGTGCTTTGAAATATTTAAAGGAGTGCTTTCTTTTAGTCATGCCATCCTCAGATATAGATAGGATAAGAATGTGAGGCAGAGGTTTCTGGAAGGCTAGGCTTCTCCCTTCCCTGCTTGTCATTCCACTGGTACATACAGAGCCTCTTTATTCAGGCTTGTTACCATGTGGTACTATATTTTATTTATTTTCTTGATATGTTTTAAAATGTGCTTTATTTGTGTTTTAATACCTATATATTTTAATTGTATTTTTATTCAGTCTTACTATGAGCTTTATTTGGGGAGAAAGGCACAGACAGGTAAGGCTATGATCAGATGAGTGTTTGTACCACTTTTTGGTCCACTGTGGAGATGAGCTGGTTTGCACTTTTTTCCAAGGATCAAATGACAATTGCTGGATTGAACTAGCCTATGCCCAGAACATTCCTACCTGCATCTTTTTGGGTCCCTATCAGGGGCTTCTACTTTTTTCTGTTCAGGTAGGATCACTAAACTTTGCTTGCTTCTAGTGTGTGCAATCACCGGAAATAAATAAAAGGGAGACTTGTGGCTGTAAATTTGCCTTCTGTTGTCAATTTGCCAATGTTAAGCTTAAGAGGAGCTGAAGAAGAGAGCTTACCTATTTCATGATATTGATAAATTAAACACTTTCTCTGCTCCATGAAGAATCAGAGGATGTAGAAGGTTTTTTAAAACTATAGTTTTACAGTGCAGATACATAGAATCATTTGGGGGATGGGGGAGAAAAACTGAAAACTTCTTCCCAAAGTAATAGGAGACAGAAAGGGGCAAGGAGGGAGATTTCTGACACAGTAATTATGCAGATAAAACATATTAAAAAGCAAAATGGGGAAATTAAAAAACTTCCATTGCTTCTTCAGGCAAGGAAGAAAAATTGGGGGGGGGGAATACCAATTAGTGCAGTGTTGATGCACTGCATCAATTACAAAAAATAAAAAAAATTGAAATCTTTCTCCCGGAAGTAGGAAGAAACAGGAGTTGGCAAGGAGGATGTATTCTCGAAGACTTTCACGGCTGGGATCTAACAGTTGTTGTGGATTTTTCAGGCTGTGAACACGGCCAAAGAGCCTGAAAACTCTCAACAACCAAGGAGGATGTTTATTTGTATGCTTGCTTGCTTGCTTGCTTCTTTCTTTCTTTCTTTCTTTCTTTCTTTCTTTCTTTCTTTCTTTCTTTCTTTCTTTCTTTCTTTCTGTTGTTTTCAACAAGCAGAAAGGCCATATAGAGTTGCTTGAAGTGAATATGCCATTTAGATGCAAGGATCATAACCAATGGCATTCTGGACCTCAATCTGATTCCAAGTGACCCTATTTAGCCTGCTCCAGGCTGCTCCAAAGGATCTTGTGTAAACAAGCCCTAGGTTCCAGCAGCTTTCAGTACCTGACTGATCTCAGCAAAGCAGAGAAACGTTGTGCTAGGGTAAACAAACAATTTAATCTTTTAAGGAAGCACCACTTCCAGTGATAGCCTCTGCGTGATGTTTATTACAATCCTTGACTTTTAGAAAAGAATTCACTGATGAATTGCTTTTTAATTTAATTGTGTTTTAATGTTACAGTTTAATTGTGTTTTAACATGTTCCAAATGGCTTTTAACTGAAATAATATCAGCTGTAGGTCTGATGGCAATTTTTAGAATATATATTTTAATTGCTTTTAATTATTTTGCCCTTTTATTTTGCCTTTTTATTGTATTTTAAATGCTGTAAGCCGCCCAGAGACCTTCGGGTAGTGTGGGCGGCATATAAAATAAATAAATAAATAAATAAATAAATAAATAAATGAATGAATGAATGAATGAATGAATGAATGAATGAATGAATGAATAAATAAATAAATAAATAAACAAACATGGTAATTTTTGTATATTTTTTTCATACCTGGTTCTACCTATTTTTATCTCTTAATTTTATTGTAAGTCAGCTGGGATCCTAGTGAAGGGACGTGGTGGCGCTGTGGACTAAACCGCAGAAGCCTGTGCTGCAGGGTCAGAAGACCAGCAGTCGTAAGATCGAATCCACACGATGGAGTGAGCTCCCGTCGCTTGTCCCAGCTCCCGCCAACCTAGCGGTTCGAAAGCATCCAAATGCAAGTAGATAAATAGGGACCACCTCAGTGGGGAGGTAACAGCGTTCCATGTCTAAGTCGCACTGGCCATGTGACCACGGAAGATTGTCCTCGGACAAAACGCTGGCTCTATGGCTTGGAAACGGGGATGAGCACCACCCCCTAGAGTCGAACACGACCGGACAAAAATTGTCAAGGGGAACCTTTACCTTTACCTTTGGGATCCTAGTACTTTATCTGGGAAACGGTGGGATAGAAGTCAAATAAAAAATAGAGTAATAAAAACAAATTAAAATAATATGGTATGATTCTAGTTAATGATCCCAACTACAGTAGGCACATTGAATCAATGGAATTTAAGTGTTGACTCATTGATCAATCGTTGCTTCAGTGGGTATACTCTAGTTGGATTTAGGTGTTTACATGTAGAACTGCCCCTACTCCATCTCAAATATTTAGACCAGTCTAACCAGTTCAGAAGATGTGTTCTCATGTTGACTTTTCATCAGTTTTAAAGCGAACATCATAGGAATAAGATACTCAGGCAGAAATGGTTAAAATCTGTTTTTTAAAAAAAATCACATTTAGGGTGAAATTAGATAAAATGTCAGCTTCACAATTCACAGGTGATAAAACATTTCCCCTCTTCTCAGCAATTCCTCCATACTGTTATGTTTGCAAAATCAACATGCAAATGGAGCTTTTTATCTCCCAATTACCAATCATCCAATAACTGCCAAACTGATTTGCAACTTGCAAAGCTGAGAAATTTCATGCTAGGGTAAATAAACAATTTAATCTTCTAAGGAAGTGCCAATTCTGGTGACAACCTATGAAGTTATAAAATCTATAAAGTTTATTATGACTCTCAACCTAATGCAAAAGAATTAAAGTGCTTGCTTACCAAGACAGGTTTTTCCATTGGAATGCACAATATATTCTGGATGACAACCACAAATAGGCCCGTCATCTGTATCTTCACATGTATGCTGACAGCCACCATTCCCATGGTTGCAAGTCACTGAAAGAAAGAAAATGTGGAAATGAACTTCAGAAGAATTTCCACTGCCTATAAAGCTCTGCATCTACACTTTTATCTTCTACCCATTTGGAAGGCCTATGAACTTATGTTATCAAAAAAAATCATCTGCAGTGATATGTACTTTGATGTAATTGCCAAACCAGACTTAATTATAACTAGAGATTAATTATAACAAAGAGATAAGAAACTTTTGTTTACCAGAATTTTTGCTTTTAACTATTTAATTAACATAATTATGTTACATCAGTTAGACTATTTATTACATTTTAATGGGTGTTGTTTATGTGGTTTTATAATTGATCTACCAATAAAAACATAAGTTACCACAGTAATTTAACAAGCAATTTTTTTTATTGTTTTATTTAACAATAAACATGGTGGGTAACTAACTACACATTCTACATGTGCCTACTCAGAATTTGGGGTACAAATACACAGCAGGAAAATACGCTATGAAACTGTGCCTGGGAGATTGTGTTTCACATTAATTTGCTTCAGCCAACCACACAGGATTAAGCAGAGGGGAATTGGGGTGGGGGGAATAAGCCTTGTTTGCTGCTTGTTTCTCTCTTCCTTTCCTATTCCATTTCTTCCTTTCTTCCTTTTAAATGTTTGCTGTCCTGGCACTAGGACAGCTAGCAAAAGCAAGGAATCAGCAGAGAGACAGGAGGAAATGTTTCAGTTATTCTTGTTTTCGGCTTTTTAATGCAGCTTTGCTCTGTGTCACCAACAGACCCAGGCACCAGGTGTCAGGAGGAGAAAATTCAGAAGGCAGCCAGCTTCCCTGCTGCTATGCCTCAAATAGTTCTATGTTGGCTGAAGTGATCATACTGCTCAAACTGATGTGAACGCATTCACTGTCAAAATAGTAGAATCTCCAGTAGTACAGTGGTGCCTCGCATAGCGACATTAATCCGTGCAGCAAAAATCACTGCTAAGTGATTTCGTCGCTATGCAATTTTAAAAAGCCCATAGAAACGCATTAAAACCTGTTTATTGCATTCCTATGGGCAAAAAACTGATCTTAAAGTGAAGATCTTCCATACGGCGGCCATTTTCGCTGCCTCCTAAGCGAGGAATCCGTGCGAAAACACAGTGGGCGGCCATTTTTTTTACCCGGCGGCCACTTTGGAACCGCCGATCAGCTGTTAAAAAATCATCGCTTTGCGATGATCGGTAAGCAAAACAGGGAACTGATCATCGCAAAGCAAAAAAAACCCATTTAAAACATTGCAATGTGATTGCTTTTGCGATTGCAAAATCTTCGTCGCTGTGCAGTTTCGTTGCTAAACGGAGCGCCCGTTAAGCGAGGCACCACTGTAAAGAAAAAAAACTATGGATTCAGAGTGCAGGGGACTCTGGGCTGATTGCACTGAATTTTACATCATATAGTCAACAGAAAATAATATAAGTCTGACTGTTCCAATCATGAAACACTTCCAGCATTATTTTATAATGTTGTTGCACCATGAGTATCACCACGTTTAATCAGCACTTCCAGCTAAGCAGATAGATATCACATTGCATCCTAATATTCTAATTTAAAAAGCCATCTTAAATCACAATACAATTCAGCTGGAGATGGAAAGATGTATTTTCACCAACTACAGTCCATTCAGGAAAGCCAGAACTAAGTCAACTCCAGTTAAAAATGTACAAGGCTAACTTGTTATTAAGTGTTGCAGTACCTTTTAGACTAACAAACTTGTTCTTGGTGCAGGAATAGGAAAATTTTATACAGTAACTTTGTTCGTCTTCAGGAATCCAACAAGACTCATTGCTGTTGTTGCTAAACAGGGTACAGGTAAAAACACCATGTACCATTTGAGAGCAGCCCACTGTTGCCCTAAGTGCTGGGAGGGAGCTGAGCAAGGAAAATAACATATGAATCTATTAGACACTCAGCACACAGAGAAGCAATGTCTGTGAGAGAGGTAATTCCTCTCTCTCCTGCAACCCCCATGTACCCTGAGGACCCTGCGGCTTTGGAAAACCCTCTGCAGCAGGTTTACAGTCCAGGAGACCACTATATCATTTTCTTCTAAAAACAGTGGAGAAGAGTCTTCAGCCATTTCTGGTACATGGAAACCTGTTCTAGAGAGTTTTCTAGCCCTCCAGAGCAGATCTGTTGGGTTTTCAGGGCATGTAAGGGATATAGGATGGAAGAAAAAATTATTCCTCCAGCATCAGCTCCTTAATATTGCTCATGTGAGAGCTGTGCTGCCTACAGGATTCAGGTCTAATTGTTTAATGAGAGAGAAAAGCAGATAAACAGGATATGAAAGAGAGCTCACAGCTCCTCCTTCTATGAGTGAATGCATGTGAGTGTAAAAGATATTGATTCCTTATAGCAGGGGTGAACAAAATGTGACCTTCCTGATGCTGTTGAACTACAATTCCCAAAAGTATTCTGGAGGTTGTAGTCTGACAATATTCCCTCGTGGCTCTCACTGTCTCAAAACACGGGGTCTTCAGAATTCTCAGATAATAACCTTGACTTGCTCACATGGGTAAGTAAAGTATTTAGTCCTGCTATAAGATGACTATGGCCCTATGATCTACAATTAATGAAACCGGGGTTGTATAACATTTAACAAATGGAGCATTGAGTCGAAATTGTAAGTGATAACTTTTATAGTGAAAACTTCATCTGCTGAATTTAACCTTTTACTCAACAAATATTCATTTTATATATGATCATCCTTGTAACCAAAAAGAGAGAGATCGTCATTAACAATCAGCAACAGAACTGTCAAAATTCTCGTTGCTTGCTTTGAGAAACAATAAATATGTGTAGAATGTTGCATACAAATACAGTCTCTCTGGTTTCTGGCCAGTTCAAACCCAGGTCTGCATTCACAGGCCACTCCTCCTTTCGGAGCTTCTTTGCAAATATGGGCACAGCCATGATCTTTATTCATGCAGCTCATTCCTTCTGTCAAAACAATAAGAATGAAAGTGATGCATTAATGTTCTCTGTACATTAAATTAAGATGATCTATTATAGATATAAACTTCAACAGTATTTAACTTTCAGGTAAGGCATGTATCATTTTGTGCTGTTCTGTGAATTACTAGCTAGGCCAGGGGCATTTCTAAAAGTAAAAGGCCTATTAAGGAACAAAAATCTCTCCTATCCAACTCAGATCTGCAACAGAAGTTTTGATGCTATTATATTCAAGAAACCTTTTCCTTATCAACCAAAGAATTTATATCTGCATGTATGCAATTCAATATCTGACTTCACAGGGGATTCTAGGGCAGTATTGATTTCTAATCAAGGTAAATTAGGCCTACACTGATGCACAACCCTTAACCTCCCTCTGTTAATTAAAATCTCTAATAGTGGAATGAGAGAGTCAAGAGATGGAATATTATTTTTAGTGTTACCCTGACACAAGCTACTTAACAGAAAAGGAAAGCCCTCTAGCTGGCTAAGTTTCACCTCTCTTCCAATACTTTTTTAAAAAAAGGGAAAGTCACAGCAGGAAAACATATTCTTTAAATGATGTGAATATTTGTAATGGTGTGGGTACATATGGAAGCAATTTGTGGAGTTCCTTGTAGTGCTATCAGAAGCACTATCCACTAGCCTCCAAAATGAGCACAATCCCAATATAAACAGATTCAACACAAACAGATTCAGATTCAATATTAACAGATTCAACTATCAGTCTATCTGGGGTAAGAATTACATTTTCAAAGCATCTACATTTATTACTATGAATAAAGGCAAAAGCAATTTCTCATAAAATTATCATCTTCTAGAGCGAGACATCCTAGGCAAATTCTCACTGACTGTATAATTCCACTTAAAATAATAGTAATTTTAAAAACACTCAAATATCCATAGATGTATCTCCTGTAATGAAAGCGGCAGACTGGATATGAACAGTAGTTTGGACAAATCCTTAAATTTAATAGACAATGTATCTTTCACTAATCTTCTACAATCTTTGGGAGGATAAACCAATGCCTTCTGAAAAGCAACCAACTAACTGACAGCTTTTCCACTAGTCAGTAAAATACACTTCCGCTAGAAGGATTTAATCTAGCATCTGATCCATATGCAACAACAAATCCTTTTATGTCATACATTTTAAAAATGTCTCTCCTGTTATATAGCTGCTATCAAAATAGAATTTGAAACATATCTGGGGGATAGGTGCCCACCATGGCAGATAGACAGACTGGACAAATTACTTGGCAAGTTTCACATTTACTTATAATTACATCTATGATGTGTCCAGGTGGAATTGACAATCAGTCTGCCTAATGGGCATTGTAGTCTACAACACATACCACAGCATTAGATAATGATGCATCCAATAAAAATTTAGACGGACTTGTTGTCAGGTGTGCAAATTTATCTGTAGATATGCATCACTCCAAATTTCTCTTCTCTCTTTCCTGCAGCTATATTATTATCCCAAGAAAATAAATGGAAAGCTTGCGACATTTTAATCAGGCATGCTTTAGTCTATTGTTGCCTTCAGTGGACTTCCTCAAAGGCTGTGGCTTTGAGCAACAAAGGAGTAACTGCTCTGCTGTTTGATTATTCTGCTCTACTGGCTTGTTGATTCCTTTCCCACAGTGAGAAAAGTAACAAAACAAAGATGCCTCCAAACCTCCAGAATGCACAAAAGATGCAAAGATCTCCACAAGAAAACTGGCAATCACCATTATGCTGTCAGTCAGCCTCTTTGTGCCACAGAACAGCATAAATTAGCCTTATTAACTCTAGTGTTTTGTGGCATTTGGATGTTCCATCATGCTATGTGATCTATCTGTTAGCTAAGAGCTGTTTTAAAAGTGTTAAGGGGAATTAACAGCTTAGCTTCTGCTAAGGATGCTCCTTCTTTGTCCACATTCAGCAGGTACTTGGTGAAGTTCACTAAACTGAAACACTTCAAATAATGAATCAAGACTTGCACAGTTCTGCATATAGAAAAATGTCCTATTTAAAGCCATGGACAGAAAGTAAGGCATTCCAACACACAACATTTTAATTATGTATGCCGATAGTTTACTGAAATTCACTTTGACTGAAAGACAATCACTTGACGAAGTTTTTAATGAGCCATTTATTGAAATGCTACACCATGCAGGGAAAAAAACAGCAACAGAGATGAAGAAGAGTTACAGTTAAAATTAGAACAGAAACCTAAAATTTGAGCAGTCTTTAAAGAGGTCTGATTCATTGCGAATCTTGATGGATTACAAGGTCTATGTCTGAGAAACTGGACTTCATCCATGAAAGATCAAATTGAAATGAATCTGTTAGTGTGTAATGTTTTCAGTTTTGTTAACATTTTGAGACAGATACTGTGTTTCCCCAAAAATAAGACAGGGTTTTATATTAATTTTTGCTCCAAATATGCAGTAGGGCTTATTTTCAGGGAATGTTTTATTATTTTCATGTACAATAATCTACATTTTTTCAAATACAGTCATGTCATCTTCTGGTTGCTGCACAATGGTGGAGGGTGGGCTTTCACTTAACTAGGGCTTATTTTTTGGGGTTGGGCTTATATTACGAGCATCCTGAAAAATCATACTAGGGCTTATTTTCAGGGAAACAGGGTATTAGCCAAGAATCCAATTTCCAATTTCCACACAGTTAGCAACACAACCAGCACCTTGTTAATGAGTGGCAATCTGTTGCCAGGATTTACAAGATTCCCCTTACAAATGTAAATCAGCAATAAGATCATGACCATCAGCTTTTTTGGGAGGTACTTTGATTTCAGGAGGAGAAGATCTTTCTGTGCATTACATCATGTTTTTGTAACACTCCAAGGCATCTGTAGGATGACTGACATTGCTTTTCATTCTACTTTTTTAAAAAAGTTCAGGAACCTGATATATAATGCTAAGCGGTGGGAAGAAGAGGATGTCAGTTTAAGTTTGAATCTGAGCTTGCTTTCGGAAAAAAAAATTGTTAATAAAAATAAACAAGCATTCATACCCATAAAAATGGAGGTGTGGTTACTATATATATATAGGCATCCTTCAGTCTCGAGAGACTATGGTAATATGCTCTGAATCAAGGAGTGTCCTCTCCAGAGCATGAAGCCCGGGTAAGGTAATATGGAGGATAGGCTGTTACCCAAGCAGCAGATCCCCCCTCTCCACATTGCTGAAATGGTCCAATGGAAAGGCAAGAGCCAATACAACTGGTTCCAGCAATGTCGCAGGAGTTGGCAGAACGACACATGCTGCCTTCGGGACTCCAGCTCCGGATTTTGCCTTGAGGTTAGCTCCTGAAGCCTTTTCCATGAGTGGATATAGCCACAAGGCAGTGGAGGTTTGAAATCGGAGGTTTCCTTCTCCTAGATGGGCTGCCTTCCATGGCTGACGAGCCCCACCTACCCGGCTGTGGTTACTAGTGTAAACATTATTATATATTAGTGCCGCATTGATCAAGTGGTTCCCTTTTGAGGAACCTCCTGCAAATATTTAAGGGACAAAAAAGTGGGTAAATATACAAGCAACTGTGTCAAAATATGTTCAAATTAAAGGGGGACTTGTTTTCAGAAATGCCCCACTATAACTGAACTCTTAGGGTACAGACAGACAGCGATACAGTTCACATTCTGAACTATTTTTTGGCAAGGATCTGTTCAAGTTGTTTTCTGGCGACTACATAATGTGCAGGAAATTGCAAACCAGCTGACTCTGCTCTGTGCCCAGGTTGGATCTCTTTGGTCCAACAAGCAGGGCTACTCTTTTTTCAGGGCTGAGTTGGAATGAAGGGGACTGTACTACATATGCACAGAAGAGTCACTTCAAAGGTGATTGCACCCAGCAAGATTATCTTTTCCATTGTGATCCAGCATGATCCAGCTTCTTTGTGTGATTGAACCCTAAGCCAACATCTTTACTGACAGAGCTTTTTAACTAAATAGCTAAAAAGAATAATTGGAACTTTATTGTACAGGAGACCATTATATATTCCAGTTCACATTCATCCATCCAAAATCCACAATTCACCTGAAATAAAGGCATTGGGAAGCACTTAAAAGCACTGTAGCACAAGTATGTAGCATAGACTTTCACATAACAATTTCTCATACTAATTTACACCTATGTATTTATACATAAATATATAAATAACTTAATTTATAAATAAAATAATTCTTCAATTAATTCGCACCTCCTTCCATCACACCAAACTATTACCTTCTTTTCAGCTTGTGTTAATTAAGTGTATTAATTTGCATTAATTGTGAATATGTATGAAAGAACAGACACATAAAAAGAGCCAGTGGTATTTTTCTTTTCTTTTTCATGATCCCTTTGAACAAGTTCAAATCTCCAGGGCCCAAGGATCAGCATCCAAGAGTACTGAAGGAGCTAGCTGAAGAAATCTTAGAACCACTATCAATTATTTTCTTGAAATCACGGAGGATGCATGAAGTGCCAGATGACTAGAGGAGGGCTAACATTGTCCCTATTTTCAAAAATGGCAAAAAGGAGGAACCTGGGAACTACACACCAGTCACTATCAATCCCAACTAAAATTCTGAACCAGATTATAAAGCAGTCACTCTACAAGCACATTGAAAACAATGCAATAGTAACTAGAAATCAACACAGATTTGTCAAGAGCAAATCCTGCCAGAGTAGTATTATCGCATTCTTTGAATGAGTAACCTCTCTGATAGACAGTGAGAATGTTGTAGACATAATGTATTTTGACTTCAGTAACACTTTTGACAAAGTGCCCCGTGATACCCTGGTTAGCAAGCTAACTAGATACAGGCTGGATAGAACAACTGTCAGGTGGATACACAGTTGGTTACAAAATGGTACTCGGAGAGTGCTTATCAACGGCTCATTCTCAAATTGAGAGGGGCTAGCAAGTGGAGGAGCACAAAGCTTAGTCCTGGGACCAGTGCTCTTTAAGATATTCATTAATGACTTAGATGAGGGGATCCAGGGAATACTTATAAAATTTGCAGGTTACACAAAATTCAGTGGAATAGCTTAATACCTTGGAAGATAAGAACAACATTTTAAAAAAATCTTGATAGGCTCAAGCACTGGTCTGAAACAAACAGAACGAAATTTAGCAAAAAGAAATGCGAAGTTCTACACCTGGGTGAAAAATAAACACACAAGATGGGGAATATTTGGTTCATAGTACTACACGTGAGAAGGATTTTGGAATTCTCATAGATCACAAGCTGAATGTGAACCAACAGTGCAATGTGGCTCCCCAAAAAAGGCCAATGTTATTTTAGGATGCATTAAGAGAAGTAGTTTCCATATCCTGTGAACTACTTGTCTCCATCATTTTGAGTATTGTGTCCAGTTCTGGACACCACACTTTAAGTAGGATGCTAACAAACTGGAAGAAGATCAAACAAGGAAACCAAGCCCTACGAGGAAAGACTGAAAAAACTAGCCTTGAGTAAAGAAGACAGGGGAGAGATGACAGCACTTTTCAAATACTTGAATGGTAGTCATACAAAGGAAGGACAGGATCTGTTCTTGATCACCCCAGGGTTCAAACAAATAGAATAGGCTGAGATAAATCAGATAGCTAGAGAGAGAGAGATTTATTTCATTTCTATGCATCACCATCCAGGCAGGGAGACATACAAAGATCAAGAGAAGGCAGCAGCAACACACACACACACACAAAAATCTAATACAGTATACATTCTACCTGGACAGTGTATCACCTGCTCAACTATTTAGCAGGAAATCAATACATAATGCCTTTCTTCCCCACTAATTTCTCTGTTTCTTTCAGTATTCATTTCTCATCCCTCCAAGAGGAAAATTACCCAAGACAATTAGGTTTCATAGAAAAGTTTTCGTTGGGACCATTTTCCCTATATACAGTCATATTCATCTATATACAGAACTGGGTCAGATTTCAGCCATTTCATTTTTTTTTCTATTAGCTACTTAGATATCTGTAGCTTCACTGCCCACAGAAACATATTTATTTTTACTTGATGTTGTTTTGCTAGAAAGGAAGTCTGGTTTCTTAGCTTTCTTTTTTAATTATTGTCACATACAGCACTGATGGTACCTGTCTGTCATGGGTTTGGAGGGAAAGTTCCATCCTATGGGGAGTGGAAGGCGGGACATCAGGGGGGAGGAGCTGTACTGTATATATATTTGGAGCTTGTGTGGAGAGTTAGGAGTTGGAGTCTGTGTGTCAGACTGGGTACAACTGTGTGTCAGTTAGTACATACCTGATAGGTTCAGGTTTCTATTTAGGTAGCCAGAACTGATAGGTTCAGGGTCTGTGCGTTACCTTAAAGGGTTCTGGGGGAACCAAATCTGTTGTATGTGTGTGATCGGGGTTATGCCACATTACATTATCCTATTTACCTGATTCTTTTATGTACCCTGTTTGTTGTTTCAATAAACCTTGTTCTTTTGTTTAGTAAAATCCATTCCTGGTCTGTGTGACTCCTTACAGGGAATGGTTGGTGGCAGCATAAATACATGGTGGCATACTCCAGTAGGTCTGGAGATGCCACAATTATTTGCTTTATTCAAGCAAATCATTAAAAGGCACAACTTCATTCTATATTTATCTTAACCAACATCTCAAACTTATAAAAATTGCTATGTCAACCCATAAGAACTAACCACAGTATCAGTGGAAACTCCCCATAGCTCAAACTACCACTTTCAAGTCATTGCCTTAGGATATCTATTAAATCATTCACTGAAGCCTCTCATCAGGCATCAGGTTTCACTTCTGCATGAAGTCAGTTCACTACTATGAAAAAAGTAAAATCTTAAAATCTTTCTCCTTCTCTAAATGATATGATCACTTTGAATAGCTTAATGAAGATCAGTTTTTTTCTTCATTAAATAATGCCTTCTTCCACTTTCTTCAAGCACTCTTTTGCTACTGCTTTTCTGAAATATTTTCTTGTTTCTTCATCCCAGCAGACACAGGAATAGTCACAGGAGCAACCGGCCCCCATCACAAAACCTGGTAGAAGCTATTTTAATTTTTACAACCTCTTCTCCACATTCCACCTTAAGAGTTTGATCATCCCACATCATCAACCTGTTTTCCTTCTTCTTACCCTCTTGATTGCTTTGTGTAATAAATAGCATACCTGATGAAGGGAACTTGTACATCCCAAAAGCTTGGGTTAAAGAGAGCTTCATAGCACAATGGTTAAGCTGCAGTATTGTAGTCAAGACTTTGCTCATGAGCTGAGTTTAGGCTCAGGTAGCCAAACCAAGGTTAAAGCTTTCCAAACTTCCGAGGTTGGTAAATTGACTAACCAGCTCATGGGGGTGGGGGGGAAGAGTGTATCCTGCATAATTAAATCATAAACTGCCCATAGAGTGCTTTAAGCACTATGGGGCAATATATAAGCAGCACGCTTTTTGCCTTTGCCTTTGCTTGCTCACTATTTTATGACAGCTGGACTGAATGAAGAAAGGAGACCAGGCCCCAATATGTACTTTGGAAGGTTTTCCATTCATGGCTTGCTTCAACCTCCATCATTTCAGGACTTACTTTTTATAAAGATAAGGTCCCAGATTCTTTTGAACCCAATCTTGCAGACAGAAATGCAGTGCATGGTAAATGGCAGCTCACAGTGACGGTGATGGAACACAAGAGCATCAGCTTACAATGGATGGTGTTGACCATTCAACAACCATGGAGAAACACAGTGCCAACTCAACTGCACCCAACAGCAAGGACATGCAGCCTCTTGCCACCTCACGGCTGCCTTTTATCAACCTCTCTTTGATACTAGTGCTGCACAATTCAAACATATGGCTGAATGCAGAAATCACCACACAGAAAAGTCTAGAACCTATTCTGGCATTAAAAGTTCTTGGAAGTAGGTTGGACGTCACTTTTAAACTAGGGATTAGATCAACTAGAATTATTTCCCTGAATTTTCAGCTTATCTAAAAGAGCCTGATATAAGCCCTTACATAGGAAGGCATGTTATTCTAGTCAAAATCCTGTTGCTTAATGTCACACTAGAGTAGGCCCACTGAATCAATGGGATTTAGTAAATTAACTCCTCTGTAAGTTCGATTGATTCAAATGGGCCTATTTTAAGGGCCACTTACCATGGCAAAATAAGTGGCAATTACAGTCAGCCCACTTGAATCAATGGAACTTATGGAGGAGTCAACTCATCAAAACCTCATTGATTTATTGGCCTACTCTAGTGCAATTCACTAGGCTTTAAGCAACAGGATTTTGGCCACTAAGTCATAGGTTGGTTTGTCTACCCCAATATCGGCAACACAGCCCAGCTGCAATCCCCCAAAATTCCTGGTGGAGATTTGGGAACAAAGCATGAGATACTGAGCTACTGAATGTGGACCCTTCCTATGTCAGAATGTGCCTTATGAAAATGACATGAATATGCACCCTTTATTAAAGACAACCACTTTATCAGAGAGCTTTGTTCAGGATTCTTGCAGAAGTAAGGAGAAAAATTCTTACCACACTGGAGAAGAAAAGAGGTGGTTTTACCTTCTGAACGATGAATGCATGTGTGCTGGTTATCACTAAGGAAGAATCCATCATTGCAACGACACTCATAGCTTCCCACTGTGTTGACACAAACATGTTGGCAGCCTCCATTGTTAAACAAGCACTCATCTGTATCTGAGAAATAAGAAGCAAAGGGGTTTCCTTTTTTTCCCAGTATCAAAATCCCACAGAAAAAGCCAATTAAATTATGATAACAGGGCACCATGCTCTGGGCCACAACACAGTTCAACACTATAGGTATGAGTCACACAACCTAGGAAGCATTTGGATATTCCTAATATATATTTTCCAACTTTCTGTCTATTGTATTGGGGGGAAATATTGTTGCACTTACAATATCTGAGCTCCTTTGAGTGGTTCCAAATGTTCCTCTTAGTCTACTTATGACAGCATTATTGAATTGTACATTCATTTTATTTAAGTTTTCCTCCCCCCTCTATTTCTCTCTCTCAGTCTCTCTCTCCCTCTGTGTGTGTCTCTCTCCCCCTCTCTCTCTCACACACACACATACACACCCCAATTTCTATAATAAATGAAATATAAAGAAATCAGAAGTGCAACAGACTTCAGTGTGCTGAGTCCTATATGATGCTAGTCAGCAGCTAGATATTATGGAAGACCAGATATGAATAGAATGGGAGCAAAAATCTGTTTGCCTCCCACTTTCTAAAGCTGGTCTGCACCCAAGTCTCCTGTCCTTAACCAAGCTCTCATCTCTTCTTTCCTTCCCACTGCCTGAAACATACGTTTAAGATATGGGCGGGACAATGAAAGGAAACACTGGGTAAAAATACTGGATTGCCAAAGCAGAGAACTCTCTAGCGGGAAGAGTTCCGTTTTAGCTCAGGATCATCTGATGTATGTATATCTTCCTTCCTAAATTATCATTTCACTGTTAAAGTATATGCAAAATTTGCAGCCATTTTCATTTTTCTCCTATTGGAATCTACTTCCCTAGAAGTGCAAAAGGAGTAAAATACCAGAATTTGATTGATCTACATATATTTATTAGGTGCTTCAATTTTGTTGTCCAGCTCAGAAATCCATTCCATATAATGCATATATAAAAGCTGTCCTTGGTCTTTGCCTATCAAGGAATGTCAATGCAGGAAAATCTGCTTTTTTACAGACACCAGAGTCCACGCATAAGAAAAATGGCATATTTTTCTAAGATATACTATTAGATTTCTCCAGTGAAAACCTCCAGTGAAAATGGCACACTGAGTCAAAAAGTAGGAACAGCATTCGGGCAAAATACTAAACTGTGATTAGCATTTCAAGCTTATAATCTGTAACCGTCATTCTTCAAGAGGCAATGCATGAGTTCATACATATGGATCTTGTACCTGCAGAGAGTCATGCCCAGAATCTTTGGGCAAGAACCTCTGCCATGCATGTCTTGGTGCCCCTCAGCTCAAGCAGGTTTCCATCCATTGCCAGGAAAGTAGTCCAGGGGTAACAGCATGCCAAGAAAAGACAAGAAGGCTCAGTTGTGGAAGTTCACAAATGACTAGTTGGAGAAACACTCTGGCAGGTAACTAAACTGTTATAGGAAGACTTTGAACCCTTATCCCACACTCCATTTCTCCAAGGCCCTTTTGGGTCAACAGCAAAACATGTTCTGACAGAAGTGTCAAATCTCCACTCAGTTATGGTGACAGAACAAGCATTCTCAACAGGTGCCAGAGACAGGAAGACTGTGCATCTAACTACAGAATACCATAAGGTTGGGGCAGTGGGCCATCTATTGTTAACATGCCAAGCAATGACAAGAGGGAAAAAATTTTTCACTACTTATTTCTCCATAAATGTTCCATATATAAAAATAAGTTGTTTGGTAAATGCAATTAAGAAACAATATAGTAAGCATTCTGCCTAAAAGGCATGGAACATAAACTTTCATATAAATAATAAATTATGTAATTGAATTAGACAGTCAGAATTAACCATTTTCAGGTGACTATGTGTAGGAAGCACAACATGCATATATACTAACTGCATAGTTTTCCTGGCATTCTAAAATCAATATACCTTCTTTTTTTCCTTAAAATTTAAATGACGTAAATAATAAGTTGTCATGTCTTAAAACATTTACAAGCCTGCAAATATAGTAACTTTAAACCAATCCTTAGAATTTGTTTGAATAAAAAAATTTGAGCCACATGAAATATGCATGCGATTTTTCCCTAACCCCTTTTCCCCAGATCAAATGCTTTTTGGCTTTTTGAAAAACACTAGAGATATTTATACAACAAATAAAACTGAGGGTGCGATCACACAGGCAAAAGGACTGCAGCATCTGAGTTGGTTTGGTTGTGGTCCATCATGAAAGGGACTGAGGCTTACTAGTACTCACTGTCTACTCTGCACTGCAAAAGGCACATCTTTGAAGAATGTTTGCCTTGGCTTCATGGGAAATAAATATTTATAAATTCAATTCCTTGCGGCACCATCCTTTTTGAAAATGTTCCTTGCCCACTTTTAAAAGAAAGTTTCAGAGTTAATTAAAGGCTTCCAACTGGGAACCCCAACATAGAAATGAATGCTCCACCAAACATTCTGCAGTGCTAAGCATTGCAACCTGAACAAATCCTGGAATAAAATTATACTACCCCACCCCCTTAGGAAAAACAAAAAAGCATGGAAAGTGGGCCAGTGGAAGAATAATGGATCTTATTGAATTGAGTAATCTGAAATTTGGTGGGAGAGGGGATAAAATAACTTGTGCTGTGCCAGGTAGATTTACCTCTATCTGGACAAGCCCTAATGCAGCATACTTCCTTAGTTTCATCTCTTAAATCAGATCCCAAAAGAGTTATAGCCAAGGTTCCCTCTAAGATATGCACCTGCGCTTGACTCTGCCCCCCTCTGTGCAGCCTTCTTCCTCCTTTGCACAGTGACAGTGATGGTTTTCAGCCCCTTTGGTTCCAGTTGCAATGGAAACCGAACTGGGGGGTGAATTGCACAGGGGGGCGAAGTTATGCACACAACAGTCAGAGCCCCACCCAGCAGGGCTGAAAATTAGAGGGTACGTTGGTTGCAGCACAGGAAAATTTTCAACTTCAAAATATTCTAGAAACTCCAGACACCTGGGACAAAATTCTGCTAAGAAACTATGTTGTTGTTGTTGTTTAGTCATTAAGTTGTGTCTGACTCTTCGTGAGCCCATGGACCAAAGCATGCCAGGGCCTCCTGTCTTTCACTGCCTCCTGGAAATTGAAATTATCCTGCTTTGGCCCAACAAGAACAAGAGTAATCTCTAAGACAAATGATCACTGCAGGACCTCAGTTCGGTGTGTCAGACAACCAAGCCCATTCTTAAGTTAAGGTTATAACATGCATCACAGGAAGTGAAACATGCAAATGAATAAAATTTACTGTATTTTCCGTGTATAAAACGAGACTTGTTATGTAAATAATTAGACCAAAAAATTGAGGGTCATTTTATACACGGCAGGCAGCCACATTCCCTGTCTTTCACGAAGCCACAGAGTAAAGCAGCTGTGAAAGGGCAGCACACTCGCACCGCTTTGATCCTGAAGCAGCCATGAAAGGGTTTCAGGATCAAAGGGGCACAAGGGCACTGCCCTTTCATGGCTGCATTACCCATTTCCTAAGCTCCGCAGGGCTTAGGAAACGGGAAACACAGCCGGGAAAGGGCAAGAGGATCAAAGGGGCGCGAGCGTGCAAATTTTCTAATTTGGGGGTTAGAAAGGGGGGTGTCATCTTATACTTTGGGTCATCTTGTAAACGGAAAAAATACGGTATATAACAATAATTACATATCAACAAGTCAATTCTGACAAATGGTGACCTCTTTCAGAGTTTTCTAGGTAGAAAGTACTTAGAAGTGGGTTCCCTTCTTCTGGGGGTGTCCTGGGACTGTGCAGCTTGCCTGTGGCCACATGGGCTGGCTTTTCTCCCAGGACAAACAATGGGGAAATGAACTCCCAACCTCTGGCACCACAGCTTGATACCCAACTCACTGAACTATGCAGCCAGCTACAATTCTATATAACTATCCTTATTTTGTACAAATGTGTTCATAGAGTTTCATCTCATCAACATAATTATTTGAGCGGGGTTAAATTATTTATTTATTTATTTATTTAGCTTATATGCCGCCCAAACTACCTGAAGGTCTCTGGGCGGCTTACAGCACTTAAAATACAATAAAAAGGCAAAATAAAAGGGCAAAACAATTAAAATGCAATTAAAATATATATTCTAAAAATTGCCATCAGACCCACAGCTGAAATTATTTCAGTTAAAAGCCTTCTGGAACAGGAAGGTTTTGACCTGGTGCCGAAATGTCATCAGCATCGGCGCCAGATGAATCTCAGTCGGAAGGGCATTCCATAGTCTGGGGGCAGCTGCCGAAAAGGCCCTTTGTCGACAAGCCATCCCTCTTACCTCCTTGAAGGACGGCTCTTTCAAAAGGACCCCCTGGTTACATCTTAACTGCCGGGTAGGTTCATATGGAAGGAGGCAGTCCTTCAGGTATCCAGGGCCCAAGCCGTTTAGGGCTTTATACATCAAAACAAGCACTTTGAATTGGGCTCGGGCAGCAACTGGTAGCCAATGTACTATTAGCAGAAATTCAGCAGGAGACATCAGTTCTGTTTCTTTCATTTCTAGTAATTCTTAGATAGGATTGCCACAGCGGGCAAGGCAGGAACATATTCAAAAGGAATGGGGACATGATGGCTGTGATCTTCTAATCATCAAGTGATTCCCAACTGTGAGTAACCCAGGTATTCATGGACTGCAACTCCCAGAAGCCTTCACAAATAGCTAAGCTGCCCGGGGTTTCTGAAAGTTGCAGTCCAAGAACACCTGGGTTACCCAAGGTAGGAATATCTGTCATATAGCTTAAATAATGTTGTCCCCATGTCTAAGTCAGAACCTAGAAACCTTCCTGTTAAATGTACAGAATATTTGCAAAACAATAAGATAACAACTGTACTCTTTATATAATTTTTTCAAGAATTTTGTGGCAGTCAACTAATTTTATGAAGAACCAAAGCTACCTCCAACTATGGATTAGCACTGATATCTATCAGTCACTAAAGTATACAAGCAGGAGAATGCTCCCATGCTCTTCCTTTCTTATGAGTTTCCCATAAATATCTAGCTCTTCACTGAAAGAAAAGACTGACTAGATAGGTTGGGCATGGGGAACATGTGGCCCTCCAAATGTTGTAGGATTACAATTGTTCATCATTCCTTTTCACAACTTTGTTAGATAAGGTTGATACATTTTCTAGTCTACCAGTATCTGAAGGGCTGCATTTGCCTCGCCCCCAAGATAAGTCTTTGGTCTGACCTGGCACTGTTCTTCTTATGTTTACACGAATGATAGCATTTAGACCTTGCTACTGGATTTGAAAATTTTCTAATTTCTTCCTGTTCTATGGCTCTGAATAGACACATGACAACACCAACACTCTCACTTTACAGAAAACTAACATCAAAGAAAAATGTTATTATTTACATTAGCAGCACTGCCCTTAAACAGCTAGCTTAAGATTTCCATAATCACAAGAATATTTAAGTGCCTTACACCTGTGGCATGCACTGCTGACCCAGGACAGGCATATTTTGTAACACACTCCTTACCAAGACAATTATGACCATCTCGAGCCAACATGAAGCCATCATAGCATGCACAACGATAATTGCCTGGAATGTTGAAACATTCATGCACACATCCTCCATTGAAGTCATTGTCACATTCATCAATGTCTGGGGAATAAAGTGAGAGACAACATGATAAATGTCTGCTTCTTTGCTATAGAGAGGTCATGACATGACTACATTACATACATGCTAATAGTAAGCATTATCTCATTTTATTTGCAAGGCAAAGCCAATTTAAGTTTAATATACTGACAGTTTACCAACAGTAACAAACTATCTTAGCCTTCCTCTGCATGTAGCAAAAAAAAAAAACTCCATGTCACAAGTGAACTGTTTCTGAAAGATTAACTTTATTAAAAGCACAAAAGGTAAAAACACTGCCAAAGGAGCAAAACAATTAAGTCGCACAGACTACTTATCATCATTTCCGATGCAAGGCATAAACTAGCAACAAGCAAACTAAAGAATACAATTATCTTAATCTAACTAAGTTTCCTAGTAGCCACAGTTTGGCAAAACCTTGGTGTTCATACTTACCTGGGTATACTGTAGATTCTGGCTCTCCTCCCTGAGAACCAATCTCTATGTTCTAGTTACATCTCTCAATCTCCTGGAAAGAAGAACCTCTTGTTTGACTTGTGGGCTCTTACTTAAGCTCCCCCTTGGTTGTGTATTCCCTGGGAAATTGTAGCATCAGGTCAGTTCAAAGTGCTTTTGAACTATCCAACCAGGAATGTGGAACAATCATGCCCTCCAGGCAGAAAGTATCTGACTCTGTGTGTATTTAGAATGTGAAGGAAATAGGCAAACTTAAGAATTGCATCCTCTCCTTCTTCTTCAACTGTGTGTGTGAATCTTTGAACATGGAAAACTCAAAGATGCTTTGAAATGTGTGTGTGGCCAATTGCTGGAGCTGTTCCCAAAAGGTGTGATTTAAGATAACATCTCTGATACTTTATTATGACTCAGGCATCCTAACCATGGGGTTTCTCCCTATATATTTTTATTATCTTTATTATTAGAACTATTAACATACTGCTTCTTATTCATGCTGAGCAATTAACTTAAGAATTTTATAGCAGCACTATACAATGGTCCAGTAAAACCTAGCAATACAGTGTTTGTGAGCAAGGAGCCACCAACGTGCCGTCCTCCAAGACATCCACCTTCGAAGAAGACCGCGGATGCATAAAGGGGGTGTTGGTTGAGTTAGAACAAGAGGAGAGATAGAGGGTGGAGCTGTTGGAGGTTTGCTTGGCAGATGACAAGGGGGAGGAACAGTATTTAATTGTCTGGAAGGAGGTGATAAATGTGGGGGAAAATGTGTGGGCTTTTCATATAACGGACGAACCTGGTGGAGGAAGGAAAGATAAGGCAGTACAGACAGAGAAAGAAAGTGTGCAGGAGGACATATCAAGTCTGTTAAAGGAGTTCCCGAATCTCCGTACCGGAGGAGGTTTGCTACCAAATCCCATCAAGGGCAATGAGGCAAAAGGAGAGTTAGAACCGGTAGAATGGACTGTGGTCATGTACCCACGCAATCAGTGTGGGGGGCGGAGGGTGAATCGTCCCAGTCCCTCTTTACTTCAGCAGCCACACGAAGGGGACTGGGCGAGACATCCCTGCTGTGGGATGATCAGTGCAGTATGGAGCACCCCATTGAGGCCAATGATGGATGGCGAGCGGTTTGGACCAGCCCCGATGTGAGGAGTGATTGGACTACCCCTGAAGTGAGAGTACGGAGTGATAAAATTCTACCAGAGTTAAGTTTGATTGACCCGTTTGAGGCTGTTGAGCAAGAAGTGCTGAGCAATAAAGGAGAACCTGTTAAAGTTTTAAGTCAGCCTCCATCCCTCATTTCCGCACCTACGGGCAGGGGCGCCCGCGGCAGGAGAAGGACCTGTTCACAATGTTACAGAAAATTCAAAATATTTAATGCCTGTAAAGAACCAAACTGAAAAGGCAGGTTTTCACTGAAGCCTGATACAGTAGACCCTCGACGTACGCACGGCTTGACATGTGTACTTTTCGAGGTACGGACTTCTCTGGCTGCAAAATTTCCCATCGACTTGCGGCCAGAAAATCGACCTACGGACCAGAAGAGGGAGGCGGGGAGAGTGGCAAATTCAAATTTGGCGCTTTCCCCACCTCCCCCTTCCAGTTCGTAGGCCGCTGATCATGCCTCCGTATGCCTTCCAGGGCTTACTGCCTGGGAAAGCCTGGTAGAACGGGCCTACCAGGGGAGGGCTTCCCGCAGTAGGCATGGTCTACTCCCCAGGAAAGCCTGCATCAGAGGGGGCAGGGGACCTCCAAGAGGCCTCCGGCAGCAGTGGGAAAAGCCTCAGAGGCCTCGGACAGCGGCAATGGCAGCAGCGGGAGACCCCTGGAAGGTTTCAGACAGGTAAGGTGTTTATTTTAATTTTTTGTGGGGGGGTATTTTTTTTCTTAGGCCGTACAGATTATAGGGTTTTCAATGCATTCCTATGGGAAATGCATATTCAACCTACGGACTTTTCAACCTGCGGCCACCGTTCCAATACGGATTAATTCCATAGGTTGAGGGTCCACTGTATATTAAGGAGTGGACATCATTTCATAGAACAGGTGTTGTGGTAACGTTATTGTTTAACCTTTGGTAAACTCCAGATCAGAATAAATCCTTCTCCACTTAGGTCTAGAATTCGAAATACACCCAAACAAGATATTTATTTATTTTTATTTAATTCCACCTTTCTCATCAAAAGGATCCAATAAAGGGAAAACAGTTGCAACCAAAGATTCTGAAACAGACTTTGATAATGTCTCCAGTTTGAAAGAAGTGATTTGCATTAGAATGGGCAACAAGTATTCTGCAGGCCATGTGCACCCTTTCTCACTTGTTCTAGCAGTCTCCAATGCTCCATGCCACTGTCAAATTTAGGTGGTATTATGGGATAGAGGGAGGGAAACCACCATTTTCTATGCTGCTGAATAGCTGCATTTACCAAGGGCATGGGTGCAGCCACTGACAAGTCGGGGGGAAAAAAGGCCACTGGGAGTACCTGATCCTATTTATCAATTTGTATATCCATTTAACTTGAAATCCTGGTTTGCAAAAACATCTTTCTCTATAGTTATACCATTTAAACAACAATCTATAGGTGGGTTAACTTTATTAATATTTAATTATTTGTTCCTATAAATAATTTGTTCCTAAAAGAGAGTATACCCCCCCCATCTTTATCCTTTCCAAGAAAACGCAAAGGACTGTACAATTCAAGCAATGTTATCCAGCATAAACAAAATTTAACCCTACAGTGATCCCCTTCACTGATTGCTGTCTTGTCGTGGCGAAGGGGCTTAAGTAATTCAGAGAAGCTATGGGCTATGCCGTGCAGGGACACCCAAGATGGACAGGTCATAGTGGAGAGTTCTGACTAAACGTGATCCACCTGGAGCAGGAACTGGCAAGCCACTCCAGTATCTCTGGGAAGAAAGCTCCATGGACAGAAACAAAAGGCTAAAAGATATGACGCTGGAAGATGAGCCCCTCAGGTCAGAAGGCATTCAAGATGCTACTGAGGAAGAGCGGAGGACAAGGACAAGTAGCTCCAGAGCTAATAAAGTGCACGTCACCAGATGGGTAATACTGATTATGTTCTCTGCAGCCAAAGATGGAGAAGCTCTATACAGTCAGCAAAAACAAGACCTGGAGCTGATTGTGACTCTGATCATCAGCTTCTTATAGCAAAACTCAAGCTTAAACTGAAGAAAGTAGGAAAAACCATGGGCTAGTCAGGTATAATCTAAACCAAATCCCTTATGAATACACAATGGAAGTGAAGAACAGATTTAAGGAACTAGATTTGGTGGAGAGAGTGTCTGAAGATCTATGGATGGAGCCTCGTAACATTGTACAGGAGGCAGCAACAAAAACCATCCCAAAGAAAAGGAAATGCAAGAAAGCAAAGGGGCTGTCCAACGAGGCCTTACAAATAGCAGAGAAGAGAAGGGAAACAAAATGCAAGGGAGATAGGGAAAGTTATAGAAAATGGAATGCTGACTTCCAAAGGATAGCAAGGAGAGACAAGAGGGCCTTCTTAAATGAATAGTGCAAAGAAATAGAGGAAAATAATAGAAAGGGGAAAACCAGAGATCTGTTCAAGAAAATTGGAGATATTAAAGGAATCTTTTGTGCAAATATAGGCATGATAAAGGACAAAAATGGTAGGGACCTCACAGAAGCAGAGGATATCAAGAAGAGGTGGCAGGAACACACAGAGGAATTATACCAGAAAGATCTGGATGTCCCAGACAACTCAGATAGTGTGGCTGCTGACCTTGAGCCACACATCCTGGAGAGTGAAGTCAAGTGGGCCTTAGAAAGCACGGCTAACAACAAGGCCAGTGGAGGTGATGGCATTCCAGTTGAACCATTTGAAATCTTAAAAGATGATGCTGTTAAGGTGCTACACTCAATATGCCAGCAAGTTTGGAAAACTCAGCAGGGGCCAGAGGATTGGAAAAGATCAGTCAACATCCCAATCCCAAAGAAGGGCACTGTCAAAGAATGCTCCAACTACCATACAATTGCACTCATTTCCCACACTAACAAGGTTATGGTCAAAATCCTCCAAGGTGGGCTTCAGCAGTATATGACCAATAACCTATGCAAGCCACTTAAGCACATCTTATTTCTTTGTGTTCTATAACATGGACATAGATTATACAATGACTAGAGTATGTATTGAATTTTTTTCCCTTTCTTTCTAATCAGCTTGCAAAAACAAAATGGAAAACCCAGAACAGTGCTTTTAGTATCCTGTAAATGCAAACTGAAGTGGGAAATGGACAGTAAAAAGGAGAACTTATTGAGTGAAGAATCTTGGAGAAATCTTTAAATGTAACACCTTTCTCTGTCTGTCTGTCTGTCTGTCTGTCTGTCTGTCTGTCTGTCTGTCTGTCTATAAATTTTTCATTCTATCTACATTCAATTTGTGCTTGTTAAACATCGTCTTACATGGGTTGCTTATAATTGTTTGTTTTTTGCATCTTGGTGTCTTCTTAGTCGTCTCTTCAAAATCCATACATTTTTTAAACATTTAAACCTTCCTAGTGTATATTTTAGTACACAATATTGGCTACTATCATAATATTAGAGTATGCAATGTTCTCAAAATCTTCTAGAAACATACCTAATAAAAGTAATTCCGGTTCCAAATCTATATAATTCTGAGGTGATTTAACCAACAAACTTTGTATTTTATACCAATAATAACTGAGTAGGTTCCTAACACATAATAGATTTTATCTAAAGCATTTTATACAGATTTACTTTATATAATTATTTAGCCATTTCTATATCCACATTTCTATCATGTCTATATCAATATCATATCTAATGTATATTCATTAAGTACTATTTGTTTTGCCCCATCCTTATATCTAGCTTCAATTTACCTCAAAAGCCATCATGTTATGCCTTTTCCATGATTAGTGAACCCTTATTTCTGTTTAATTCCCTTTTTTAATATATATAGGATATACCCATTTACAATTCCAGAAGTATATACATGCTTTCAACGTTGACGGCCACCTTAATATTTTTCCCTTTTTCATCTGAGTAACTCCTTCTCTTATTTGTCTTTTCCCAATTCTTGTTTCTTTCTCCCTATATATTCTGCCATTCCTTGTGTCATCTGAAAACATTTTATACACTTGATCTATCTCCAATAGATCTTTATGCACTTGATCTATCCCCAATAGATCTTCCAAGCTATTTTTAATTAATTCTGCTGATTTTGTTCCCATATCTTCCCTTAACACAGCTAAAATTCTCCACAGCTCTAGGGTTAGAATTAAATCTCCTAATTTTTTTCCTCTGATTTCCTCCAGCCCTTCTTTTGCTTGGCATACATCATCCTCCACCCTCACATTTCCTTGTTCTTTATTCCCTGTTTCCTGTTGAATATAGTCCTTCTTTAGTTGCTCCTTGAATGATGTCCAATCTCTAACAGAATCATAGAATAAATGCATGGGAAGGGGCCTATAAGGCCATTAAGTAGAACATCCTGCTCAATGCAGGAATCGAATAAGAGAATAACAGGAAGAACAAGTAGATAGAGCTATCAAACAACTATTTCCAGGCCTCTGTGTGTAGGCTGTGCTAAAGAAGGTATGTTATTATGCATGGGCCGTTCTCTGCAAAATATATAAATAGTATTTATATGCATTTATTTCATTGTCACTGTTTACTCAGCTTCAACTGATAATGTAGATCAAGCATGTCTAGGGCACGGAAAACCACAATGTGCATACCTTCACATGTTTTTCCTTCTCCACTATAACCTGGTTTACACATGCATTTGTACGACTTTGGAGTATTTTGACAAATGGCGTCTGCATGGCAGTCATCAGATCCTTCAGCACACTCATCTACATCTGCAAAAAGATACATGAGAGAAAGGTATATGGCAGTAAAAATAGATGCCAACAATGATATAGTCAGACATTCACAGATACAACACTTGATCTTATGGATTTAAAATTGTTCCGCCCACACGTAATTATGGAAGAGAACTCAGTTTGCATAGAACTAAGATGAGCACCCCGCCCTAGAGTCGGACACGACTGGACTAAATGTCAAGGGCAACCTTTACCTTTACCTTAACTGGTAAAAACTCATTCTGACTTTTACAAGGGCTAGTATAATATATACAGTATATCAAGCACAAAGAAAGAGAGTATGGCTTAATAAGTTGACGACATATACCAAGATCCAGGTCTATAGAGCCTGCGTCCTGAGCACACTCCTGTACTGCAGTGAGTCCCGGACCCTTTGTGCACGGCAGGAGAGGAAGCTGAACACCTTCCATATGCATTGTCTCCGACACATTTTTGGTATCACCTGGCAGGACAAAGTTCCAAATGGAGTAGTCCTAGAACAAGCGGGACTTTTTAGCATGTATACGTTACTGAAACAGCGACGTCTACATTGACTCGGGGTTGTCATGAGAATGGCTGACAGTCAGATTCTAAAAGATCTCCTGTATGGAGAATTAATGCAGGGAAAGCGCCCCAGAGGGAGACCACAGCTGTGATACGAGGATATCTGCAAGCGGGATCTGAAGGCCTTAGGAATGGACCTCAACAGATAGGAAACCCTGACATCTGAGCGTTCAGCCTGGAGGCAGGCGGTGCATCACAGCCTCTCCCAATTTAAAGAGACCCTTGTACAGCAGGCCATGGCAAAGAAGCAGTCCCAAAAGCAGCAAAATCCAGGAATTGGACAGGGGACAGATTGTATTTGTCTTCACTGTGGAAGGGATTGTCACTCTCAAATTGGCCTTCTCAGCCACACTAAATGCTGTTCCAAGTCCTCTATTCAGAGCACGTTACCATAGTCTCTTGAGACTGAAGGATGCCTAATATCAAGCAGAGGCCACCTGAAACAATTTTAATCATATATTGACAGCTTAAAACTACTTGTTATTTATTACTGCTCTGTGATGGCTTCTCCCTCCTGCAATGTGATCACTGCATTTATAATTTTGTAGTTTAAATCACTTTATGAAAGCAACACGAATTATACTTCTAGTCTAACATTCTGCTTTTCTCCAGCATTAGCCACCAGAGCAACAGATGAGCAGGTAGAAAAATACTATTACTGTATAATATTGATACAGAACAGCTAAAACAGAGGAACATGGCAAAGGACTGAATCATCTCCATAGACCTATGAGAAGGTAATCCAAGTTGCAGAAGGCACCCTTTCCCAGCTTCCCACAGTGAAGCCATCCCCAACCAGACTTTAGATTGGCCTAGCGGCATGGTCTACAATCATAGGCAAAACAGTGGTAGACCAGAGCTCCAGGGCAGACTTGGCCAATTTTCAGCAGGCCACATATCCAGTGGATCAGGTCATGGAGAGGGAACAGAGGAAGCATCGTTGGTACACCACGCCTTGTGAAGACAGAGAAGGACAGGTCTATCAGGGCCACTGGGAGTGGTGGGAGATGAGGACTCCAAGATGGCTGGTCCCTCTGCCTCATCAGCTAATACAGAAAATCAGCTTATTAGTATATATTGTATGCTAAACTATATACATATATACATACATACGCACACACATACACATAAACACATATGTATATAAAACACTTTTGATGTGTTTTTGTTTTTGTAGCTCTGACATTGTTGCTGATCCTCTGTAGAGGAGAAGGGATGTTATCGAGGTGTTCAGTGTTGTAAATATTTTTTCTATTATTTTCATGTCATGAACTGCAGAGCTAACTTGGGCTGCATTTTGTGCTGTTTGCCCCAGGTGCTAAAGTGGTTTGTTCTAGCTCTGCACCTCCTGTCCACCTTGATCCTTTAAAAAAAATCTCTTCCTGTTTACATCAGAGACCCTGTGACCTTTTGAGAGAACTGTCTGGGACATAAAGCAAAGTAAATGGCTGAAACTGTTAGTGAGAGGGCAAGTATGCCATGAAGGGTTTGAAGAACATGAAAGCTCATAACCACTTGCCCATCAGCATCCTGTTGGGTGTGAGACACTTTATGACAGCCTCATCCCTTTACTGATAGCATTGTTAGGCATCCTTCAGTCTTGAAAGACTATGGGAATGAGCTGATAAAATGTTTGTACTTCAGAAATGCATTGATTTAACATTTATTAACTTTGGACTATGTCAAGTAAATAGTTAATGTGAACACCAGAACTATATCTCATATTCTACAGAATCACAGAATTACATAAAACAGGGGAGGGTAATTCTGTTCCCAGATGTTTGTGGTTCCCACACCATTGGCTATCCAGGCTAAACCTGATGAATATCATAGATCAAAAACCAGGTATGAGCCCTGATATGAAGGCAGCATATAAGGTCAGTTGTATTTTGGTTCTTTTCCTAAATATCCCAAGCATGAGTTTTGCCCTATTCACCACTGCTTCACATATTTTACATTTTCACTGAACTGTTCTTTAAGATGTCTTCCCTTGTCAGTCATAACCAGCTCGAACCCAATCTCTATTTACCTGAACTTAGGATTTAGTTGTCCCAATGTACATCATAAATTCTCTTGTGTTTAGTGATTTTTTTTATTCACTTGAAGTTCACAGATTTCACAAATTTAGTTTAGAAACATGGCAAGCAAGATGGTATCTTTGCAGATCACAGACACTCTATCTCCTCCTACTGACCATGGCTAAGGGTACAGAAGGGTGCTTAAACACACATCCCCATGTACATTAGCCAAAATCCTGTTGCCCAGGATAATAAATCAACAGGGTAGGCTCATTGAATCAATAAGAATTTGGCTAATCAGCTCCTCCATAAGTCAAAAAGGTCTACTCTAGCATAGTAAATTGAGTTAGAATAGGTTCATTTGAAGCAATTGAACTTACAGAGGAGTTGACTAAGTAAACTCCCATTGACCCAGTGCACCAACTGTAATTCAGTTTACTACACTAAGCAACAGAATTTGGGCTATTGTTTTAATACAAACAGACAAACTGCTGTAGTGGTGTATGTTGTGTGTGCATATTATGCTAATGTACCACTATGTTTCTTCCCACCTGACAAATACTGTGGCTGCTCTTGGTAATGACACTGGTTTATTTATTTTTGTATTTATTTACTTAACTTACATACTGCACCGATTAGGGATAATCATTACTTAGTTCAAGATTCTGACTAGAAGGTGGGAATAGCTACCTGAAGTTTTAACCATCTATTTCCATGTACAGTATATAGCTAGCTGCTTGTGTTTATTCAATTACTGATAATGCACTGAATTAAATTTTGGACAAGCCACAGAATGTTCCCCAGACCTGACAGGAGTCAACACAGATGTCATGGTAGCTACTACATACTCAATGTTTATGTGAACTGCCAGACAGTGCCATACAGAAATAGGATTGTTGAGAAAAACCTTAACCATTCCAAAAGATCAGAAAGATATGTAAACAATGCTATACTAACCAATTACTGATGAAACACATTTCTATGATCATGACAACACCATCAAAAATTTGACTGTTTGAAAGAAAATGAAACATTAACAAAAAGTGTTTACAGAAATGAGTATATGGGCAACTGAAAATTTTCAGCTTCACAACCATAGGCACATTAAACATTTATTTTCATTGAATAGATTGTTATTATCTCTCTGTGTGTGTTTTTGCATGTGTGTGTACATAACGTAGGCTCTGAACAGTTCCAATTCAACTTTTTACACTAAAAAGCAGAAATCATATCGGGCACAAAGCAATTCTAAATCACACAGACAGAAAGATGCACACAAATGGGCAGCACAGAATTCATTTCCACAGCCACCTAATTTAGTAAAAGTATCAAAGCAAGTTAGATAGGAAACCAGAACCTCAAGTTATAACAAATACTGAGAAAATTAGGAAAGTGTTCTTATACTGGAGGTATGAGTAATATGTTGTTCTTTAGATGTTGTGGAATTCACAGTGGAGGATGGTGGAAAAGGAGACAAGAAAGGCAAGCAGGATACTCTGTAATTTCACATATATGTTACAAGTACAGTACAAACTGCAAACAGCCTTATATTGGAAGAAAAGCATTCACCTCACCTCACAGATCCTGTGATTCTAGTCTTCAAAATATTTATCTTGTTTAAATTACCAAGATTTACTTGGAAATAGTTTTCCTTTAAATTCACAACACCTATTTTTATACAACTGTGTCAATATACTAATTGCACATAAACAGATTAAAATATTATTTTTATAAGATAACTGCAAGTACTGTATATCATTTTATTTCAGCCTCCTGTGCCTTGTAGGATCAAATGTACTTATTATGAGCCAAAGATACCAGAGTAGAGGAATTTTTTTGTGTGTCTCATTTAAAGGCACAAATTGAAGTTGTTATGTGCCATCAAGTTGCCTCTGACTTATGGCAACCCTATGAATGAGAGATCTCCAGAATGTCCTGTCCTCAAAAGTCCTGCTCAATTCTTGTAAATCCAAGCCCATTGCTTCCTTTAGGAAAGCAATCCATCTCTTATTCAGTCTTGCTCTTTTCCTTCCTATTATTTTTTCACAAATAACATAAGATATACTTTTCCAGGCATGGATATTCTATAAAAAGTTCCATAATCTCTAACTGCAAAGAAGACATATGAAATGCAATGTATTTGTGAAATATATAATTCATTTATTTAAAAAAAAACTCTCAGGTTTATGAATGTGGGATGTTGCGCTTCTCTATCTGCAGTATAAAACATTAGGAAATGGCCTGATATCACTGCAGAACATTGTGCCCATGTTGCTAGCAGAAAAAAAGGATGCCATACTTTAGTAGCAAAAGGCAGCCTGAATGTTGCTGACACCAATGTCAGCAGTCAAGATGGTCTATGCAGCCATTCTCAGTGGAGGTCATATGGCTCCCTAAGAGGCCCTAGCAAATTTGAAGGGGGCCATGAACT